CGATGTACCAGGTTGTGGCTCTTCAATGTCCATCAATTCCAGATCTTCAGATTTTTTGTCAGTTATAAGACAGTGTGATAACTCTAACAAATATTTTCTATATGTCAAGCTACTATTATTATGCATGTTATATACTAAATAGAAATTAAAAATGCACAATTTAACAAATCTATTACAGCCCGCTTGGTCCACTTTCTTGTTTTTTGTAATATTGTCTAATACGAAAGGTACTGGTCTGCCCTATCAACACCTTTCATCTAGTTGTTGTATTCTATTACGCATTTTGGTTTCATTATTTTTGTATTTCTGTGCCAATCTGTATTGGAACAGCTTCAAACCACAAAATATACTAAATGCAAATGTAAAGTGGCGCATGTGGTTGCAAATCGTAATAATACGACTCCCGCTTTTAAGCTACAGTCGAGATAAATCGTAGTACTATGACTCCCGCCTTTAATGTGTTAAGTAGAAGCTAGAAGCTTGAACAAATATATGTAGTTTGATTCCCAAGCTATTAGAACACCGCTAAATGTATGTATCAGGTAATCCCCCTTTTCTTTTTAAAAACCGTATTTTAAGCATGGACAATTTAGTTTTTTCTTATTTATTTACTAATTATTTTAGTTTGATAATTTGCGTTTTAGAATTACCTAGATCTTTTCAAAATATTAAGATTGACTAAATATATTTCAAAATATTAAATCTATTCGGAGTAGAAAAATAAGAAAAATCAGCTATGCCTTAGCTGAAATTTGAACTACCAGATCTTCATTGCTTGCTAGGTTGCTAACTATTTAATATCACGAATGGAGAGTGCAATAATTTACTAAACGCTTTCGCAATTAAAGGGCGACTGAGTGAGAGGAATGAGATCCAGTGGAAGAAATGGAGGTGATGCGACGTTATCACGCATTACATTTTATTTCAAGTGCCGCTGTTATATGATAAAAACAGCGGCACTTTATTAAAAAGCTGGTACAGTTGATGGACAGACTGTCCGACTTAGATACAGACTTGTGTCAGCCATAGAACGACCCAGCATGTAAAAACAACTTAAGCATTTTAAAAAGGACATGTATTGCAATGTAGGAAAACTGTCATTCAAGTGAATTGTAAGAAACTATAATGTAGACTAGAAACTCACAGTTAAACTGCCTGTATTCATACCTGGAACGTCGTTTCATTTAACAATGTGCATGTACTGTGTAAATAATTTCGGCAAATTATACGTAAGACCATATAATGACCCGATATATAATGTAGGCATAACGAATGTATGAAAGTGCATATCTGTAAGCAAAGTAATGTAAGGGAGTGTAATATATGTAATATTTTGTGTATCAGTAAGCTATGTATAAGTAAGTTATGCAATTTAAAGTAATGCAATATAATGCAGAAATGTCTAATAAAATGCATGGTAACATATATGTTTGTATTATGAATAAGGGATATAGGATGTCTAACGCAAAGCAATGTATGTATTGGAATGTCTTTTCATGTACTGGAAAATTATGCAATAAGTACCCAAATAAATGTAATGTAAGTAACTGTAAGACTTATGTTTGTAAATATTGTATCTAAAAAATTAATCAGAATGTATCTGTATGTATCTATATGCAACTGTTAACCTAAGTTAAGCAGTGTAGGTAAAATCAAGTAATATGTGAAGCAGGCGTGCCTGACTATATATGTATATAAAAATAATGTAACGCAGGCACATGTAATATGGCATATGTAACTGTACATGCAAACTGTATTTATATGCAATCTACAAGTAATGTAGTATATTTATTGAAATGTACAGCTAAAAACTGTAAACTGTACACAAAGTAATCCAACGCAATGTAAGATTAATGTAATTCAGGTAATGCATATCTTGTATGCGGAATGGAGAGACAAAGTCAGTATGTAACTCTGTAAATCACGTTATCCATAGAATATGTAACCAGCAAACAAGAATGTAATACTAAATTTAACAGCCCTGAATGGCCATGTAATTGCTCTTTTGAAAGACTCAAGGTTCAACTCTAGATATTGGTGGACGTGGCGCTACACCAATTAACCGACGGTAAAGGGGTGGTGCCCACGTCCCCCGTCGCATGTCGCATGTAAAGACTATTAAATTCAAATGCAAGAGACATCAGAAATGAATTGTCCTACCGCCGGAATTTGAAACACGGATCACTTACCTGGAGGTGCTATGGCAGCATAAAAGGGATGATGCGATAAATCTTTACACGATGAGCAGTTTCGCATTTATTTATGTAAATTTTCTTTCCATTCGTTAAAATGATTTTACCTTTAAGATATTTATTTTAGTTCTTTTAAAAATTTCCAGTTTCAGTGCATTCGATAACGTTTTCCTAAAAGAATTTCTTCAGTCATTTGCCATCATTTCTTTGCCTCTTTGGATTCCTATTTATCTCCAATTCACTGTTTCGCTCAGAACAACTTCATGCGGCTTTATCGTTAAGTTAAACATACTTCTTTCTTGACCAAATTCTTTACAAACTGATATCATTCTCTGCTTTATAACCCCTGATTATTCATCTTTCATTTCATTTTGTTCCGTCTCTAAAACACTTTTTTATTATTTGTTTCTTCATCTTTAAATAGTAGCTGCATTTGGCACATATTAAGCTTTGCTGCAGTAACTCAAATGAGATAAAACATAAGTTGAATGTTCCTATTTCTTTCAACATTTAAAAAGATATATGGTTTCTCAGAGCATGTTAAAGTCACAGAATATTTATGCGTCATTAACTGATGCATGCTTATTTAATGAAAATATGCATATGGCGATCGTGTCGAAAATATGCATATGGCGATCGTGTCGTATATGCGTCATTGCTTGGTAAACTAAAAGTATTTTTTAATGAATTATCAAATGAAAATAAAATATTTTTATTGAATTTTATTGTGATTGTCACTTGAGATATGAATATATACCACATTAAATTTAGTATCTCTTGAATACATTTGAGTTATAGTGTATCAGAGCTTCATTTTGAAATCAAAGCAAATATGCCACGAATTTTCATTTACACATTTTAATGCGCGAAGTTCAGAAAAGAGAAATGATCCTGATGCATGAACGTTCTAATAACAGAACATATTTTAAAGACCTCTAAACATTAACTAGTGAAATAAACAAAATAGGAAGCACAAATTGTCATGGCACATTTTACTTCCTTATACGGAAGGTTGCCATCGCAAAAAGTTTCGGGTATCATATTTTAACGGAAATCTCCATTTTGACGCTTCCTGAAACTGTCAGGACGATTCCTTTTTTTCCTTGATATTTGTACATACGGACAGAATAAAGGAATCTTTTTTTTTTTTTTTTTTTTCAAAACGTATTGCAAAATGTTTTTAGAATGAATTCAAAAGGGATTTTTTTGGTGACATTTCTACGTACGTACGTATTTATGTATAAATCTGGCATAATTAAAAAAGAATTGGCCGTAGAATGTTGAAATTTTGTATAAGGGACTGCTATAATATCTGATTACGCACCTCCCGAAAATTCTTACTTGGCCTATAGTTTCGCTATCGTTGGTAATAATCACATACTTCCATTTACATAAGTGTTTTCAATGACGAAAATATTCCCATTTTTAGCAATGTCAGATTTAAAAAAAATATATATAATTTTCTATAAAAGTTTTATACTTGTAATGAAAAACAAAATAAAATTATAACATGTTTGGCTCCCATAAAAATTGCTCAATACAACTAACTTCAAAATTTGCAATTTTGATATAATTTTCAGTTTTCTTGAGAGATGGGTTAATTAAGTTAGAATAATCTGAGAAAATATGTTTAGATGAAATGCATCAAAAACTGTACATAATTTAATAGGCTGTACAATGAAGTCGCGTCGTGTGCATATCAAATATTTTATTATGATTATTGAGTGTTATTTGTTACAGCGGTTTATAGAATCTTCTCGTTTCGTTTTGTCTAGTTTCACCCGTAATCTAGGCTTCTTGAAATTGTTAGAGTCTAAGAACGTAATGAAAAAGTGCAAAATACATTCGACTTAATTTCTAAGTTTTGCTTAAATTAAATATGCTATTTGTTATGTAGAAATTGTCCTGCTATTTTTTGTCGACTCTACTAGAAATCCAAACTAAACTTTTGAAAAGAGTGAGAATGCAAATTTAAAAGTAGAGAATTATCAACTGAACATGTAGTGGTTTAACTTTCAACAATTCAACCTGTTGACTGTATCACTGTACTATTATTTCGACACTTTCTAATGTTAAGAATATTTACAAATTAAAGTCGCGCTTGCTTTGTAAACCTGTCATTAGGTTTCTACTCGGATCCTTGCTCGTAAATACTATTTAAAATTACTTTTACATTTTAATGCGCAACAAAGCAGGTTGAAAATGTAAAGTTTAATCCTCCATAATACTGTAAATAAACTCATGAGACCCAAAATAGGTATATAAAAGTATCTGTTTTAATTCTGTTAAGGATTTAAATGTAAGTTCCAACTAGAAGTACATCAGTAATAATACCATGAAGTGAACTTTGATGGTATTACTATTTTTGTATTAAATCTGAGCTTCTGCATTCTAAGCTAACATTCTTTTGCAATCTAGCAAAACTAAACAGAAGTTTGGATGAAGTGAATTTAGGTTTTAACCTGAATAAGGTAACAGGTTTTGTTGGACATATTGTTTTTCGCCTAATATAAGTTATATGGAATGCCTTCATTATGGGTTACGTCCTCTTGTTTTAGTGAATATTTATTTATCATGTTTTCTCATTTAAGAAGAGAGTGATTTACCATAACACTGTGTAATTCAAACTGTCTGACAATTTTTACAACTACCACAATAAGCACTATTTTTTCAGAAAAACCCTTCTACGAAATACATATCAGGTGAATCATTTCACAAAGAAAATCACTGAACTTTGCCATTCCAGATACGAAACTACATCACACTAGAAGAAAGCATCATTAAAATAATGAAGATAGAGTTACTTACTGGACAACGAACTGATGGGCATCATCAGACGATGCGAGAGTGATAGCAGCTTCTGTCAGGGCAATGGACCCTAGGGGTGGTCTAGAACATCGGAAGTCTTCTTCGCAACGATAGAAAAAAAGACGCCAGTGGCGATCATCCAACACATAAAACTGTCGCTTCGAACTCTTCAGTCGACTAAAAGCTGTATCAAAGAAGAACAAGGAAATTAGAATAACTATTGAATATACTGTATTTATTTCATATATGCAATACCACAAATTATACTCAAAACAAGTCTATCGGTTTCTGTTATACCCATTAAGAGCTATAGGTCATTAAGAGTCCATTAAGAGATAATACCAGTTCTATTATACACATATCTTATTTAGTTATGTCACTAATTATATCAAATTATTTCTCATACACTCCATTTAATATATTTTTATGGTATTTAATAAATAATCATAATGTTATTTTCTCGAAGTGCTCTACCACCTATAAGAAATATATTGCAAAAAGCAGTAGTTTTAGTACAGCGTTATCAATATGTTTACAACTTCAGTAAAGTTGTAATAATAAGCTAATAGATTTAAGGTCTAATAGAGTTTTGCTTTCATTTTGCGTAAGGGACTTAAAACATTTTCATTTAATTGAGGTCCTTATTCTTATCCAAAGTAAAGAATTTGCTATACTACACGATTAGCAATATAAACTGTAATTTTTATGCTTACATCTGTGCGCTGCCCCACGCTTCACAGAATAGTTTCTGCTAAGAAATGCTGAATCAATAAATATATTAAACTTTAAGACACGTGACTCGCGATTTAAACGAATTTGTATGAATAACGTAATGGTAACAATATCCGCTGTCCGGTATACGACAGCAGCAACATTTAAATGATAAATATTATTAATATATAAGAAATATATAAATTATTAGCAGTATTAATTAACAATTGATCTTCCGAGTGACGTGATTGTTGTAATCAAATGTGGTATAAAAAGGGTGTGATAAAAAACTTGCCGGAAAGTGTTTGCTTGTATCACATTACTGAATATTGTATTATGAGAAAGGAATACAATTTCACAAAAGGGCTGATCAAAGTCATATTGTAATATATAAGTTATTTCTCCCACCTTCTTGGCGTGCCTTTGTGGTGTAGTGGACTGCACGCTCAGCGCTTAATTGAGAGGTCCGCGGGTCGATTCCCGACGAAGGCGTTTGCTAATTTTTTATTTTGCCGGCTTCCAAATTACCTAATGTCTCTACAAATATTAAATAAAAGTTCTCACCCAAAATGTGGAATTACTACTAACTTTTTGTTACAGGAAAATATTAAACATGTGAAAGTTTAGTGAAATTTTCGAGATAGGTTAGCTTAATTAATTTTTATGTGTTTAATTAGCAGGCGTTAGTTTAATTAATTTTTATGTGTTTAATTAGCAGACCAATTTTATGCATACGCAAAACTGAATTGCGAGAAGATTTGGCTTTTACAATAATATTAATTCTTTCATTTCAATATACCGAATCAAAACATAAATGCATTTCTGAAACAAAGGGATACTTATAACAAACGCAGCATCTCAAAATATAATGCAATATACATTGAAACTATTGCATTTATATACATTTAAATACTTTGTAGAGACATGAGGTAATTTTTTGGAAACCGGAAAGATGAAAAATTAGCAAACGCCTTAGTCGGGAATCGAACCACGGACCTCTGGAATACCGGCCCGGCGGCAGAACCACTACACCACGAAGGCACGCCAGGAAAGCCGGAGAAATACCTTACATACTCCCCTCTTTAAAGGGAGACTGGGCTTTTTAGGGGACCCAATCGCCAAATCCGGCTGTGGACAGTCATCATTCACAACCATTTTTAGTTCGGCTCCACTCTAGAGAGATTAGGATTTTTTTGGAAGCAAGAGAGAGGAAAAATTAGCAAACCCCTTTGCGGGGAATCAAATCACGGACCTGTGGAATACCGGCCCAGCATGCAGAACCACTACACCACGAAGGCACGCTAGAAAAGCAGGAGAAATACCTACAACTTTAGATGTCTAAATCGAGTTATGTTAAGCTAAAACGCAAAATAGCAAATAGTGCGTAGTTAAGACCGTGCACTAATTAGTATATGTCATTTAGCTCAAATTAGAACGAGTAACTATATTTGTTGTCAGCTCGCAAATAAGTTAATAGTCTAATTTCTGCAATTATACCAAACATTACAGACCTCGTCCGCATAATATCACAGTTAAGCAATTATAACTACAGTTACAGTATAATTATGTGCCTTGGATTCTTAATTGTTTTAATACTTCTTGAAATTTTCTCGTATTTGTGTAACAACAGAAAATTTGTGTAACAACAGAAATGATACATAACGACACAGGAGTGATTAAATTGCATGCAGGGATGTAGCCTTAGATGGGCATCAGTCGACGTGCGATCCACATAGGGACTTGAAAGAATTCGGAGGAAGTGATTTACATCCGTAACACATAGGAAAATACTGAATTTTAACTCTTCATAATTATAAAGATATGCTCATATTAAAATTATTCTGTGATATTGCTGTTGAACTGAATTTTATGGTTTGAGTATGTAGAACGTGATATTTAAAATAAGGTAACACATAAAAAGTTAAAAATCACTCCTTTGGAAGTAATTTAAAATCTGAAAACTTTCAATTTCTTTTAAATATTGTTTTTCAGTCATTTCTCAGTTCATTATATCAATACTCAATTTTTTTACTAAGATGGCTAATATTGAATAAAATGTCTGATAAACATTATTTATTAAATATCACTTTTTTCCTTTTTTTACTTCCTTGTACGAAGCAAAAAGGAAGTATTGTAATCGAGAAAAGCTTCGGGCAGCATATTTCAACGAAAATATCCATTTTGACCGCTATCGAATGCAATTTAACGATGCTTTTGCGTGATATCTGTACGTAAGGACAGAATAAACGACTCGTTTCCTCCAAAAAAATTATAAAACTGCTTTAAAATGTAATTCTGAAGAGGAATTTTTCGTGGCGTCTTGTACGAACGTACGTGCGTACGTACGTGCGTACGTATCTCGCATAACTTCAAAACGAGTAAGCCTCAGAACGTTGAAATTTTGTATATAGGGGCTGCTTATAAACATGTAGATGTGCAACCTCGTATTTTCCGTTGCAATCGGCCGCACCAAACGTATATAAATATATTTAGTATATATATCCACTCTGTTACCCGGCTCAATGATCTCAGTTTCTTTACTCTTATATGTTGGTAAATTATACATTTTTTGCTTTAAAAATGATTGAATTATGTTGTTTTTAATGTTCCGGTTAAGATTTTTATGCCTTTAGTAAATTCTGTATGCAATAATTTTAGAATTATCAACAATTTTAAAGTTGTTTAAGTTTGCCGCTAAGACCTAAGGTTTTTTTCATGGCGGCCATTGCTTGTTTACATTTGAAACAGCAGACTAGTGGATTTGTTGCCAATCTAGGGAAACTTAGCTTAGCAACAACAAAGATAACGCCTTCATTTATTATTGCCAATTAAATAATGCTTAATCCTTTCTGGAATTTTTTCGAGGAAATAAATGTTTAAGATTAACTTCGTAATTTTGAATACGGATATTTAGAATTTTTATATATTTTTGCCTTCTTGCGAAGTGAGAACTGATTTAATTGAATGAGAAATACTCAATAGTCTGTGAAAAATTGTTTCTTTTCTGTTTTGTTTGCTTAATTTCTTTTATACATCGTTCTAGCTTTATTATAGTATTTGAATAGAACATGTGGCAATGATTAGATAATTCTATTCTTTAAATGATATAAATTTTGTGCATTCTGAGTTATAATATGAACGAAATTATACTAATACTGTTAAGTGAATCTAGAGCCAGAGTGTCGCTATGATAAACAAATACTAGAGTGAATTTTAAAGAATGCATTTATTCTATTGTGGTTTATGAGCTGTCGGCGAAGTATATTTTAATTTAATCCAATAAGTTTAAATAAAATGCAAGAAAAAAGAATTGTGTATAATTTAATATTCTGTACAAGGAAGTCATGTGGTGTACATATCAGATTTTTACATATAAAGTTCAATTAAATAACAAAATCACACAAAAACAGCATACATTTAGAATTTCCGATAGAGTGTCAGATTTGTCATACATATGTTTTTATTCGTGCATTATTTCTTTAAAAATCTTGCTTCTCACGTTGCCATCCGCTTAAAAGAGTTATCATAAAAAAAGTGTATAATGAGTCCAGCTAATGTAATTCCATAAAAATATTCAATATTTCCAATTCGACATGTCATGATTTTAATATTTGTTTATTTTAATCAAACCCACTGAAAAAAAAAAAAAAAAAAAAAAAAAAAAAAAAAAAAAATGTTCTTAATAATTGTGTTTATTGTTTTTAAATCGCCTCAGAATATTATTTAAAAAATAATTTTGGAACAATTTATTGAAACACTTCAGAAATGAAATTGCATTTTAGACACAAATAAAGCGTCCTTTACTGTTTAAAACAATTTCCAAGATTTCAGTTTTAATGTTGTTAAAATTATGTTGTTTAATATGCTCCAGTTCTGGTTGTATTTTGATTTACAGATATTGTAAATGATAGCACAAATGCAGTCAGATGTTTTCCAAAGGGTCAGCCGTAATTTAGCCAGCTGGCAGGTAAACCAGGTGCTGTAGAAAGCAGCTAACTGAATTATAGTTATCAGTCTAAAAATTATTTTCATCACCAAACTGCTGTTTTTCATGATAGGCTACCTTATAGCATTAGGACAGTACAGTCTGGATGTTCTTAAACAGTTGAATTAGGTATTCTTGTCAAAGGTTTGACATTAGTTTTAATTCAGATTAGACTGTTTAATAATTACTGATCTCTTTTATTAACAAAATGGGCCTAGTTTAGCTTCCAGGTTTCTAATTTTAAACGTTTTTGCTTGTCTAAGATTGCTCACAGTTGACTAGATACTAACCTAACTTCATCACAATTATTTAGTTTCTTCGAATTTATTTATTTATTCTTCACATTTTTTTTAACTTCTTCGAAAATATTTTTACACTAAGCGCTACAAAAGTTATGATATCTGAACTTAAAAGAAATAGTTTTTTGGTACTTAAGCGAATTAATACATTACTAAATTTTTTGTCAGTTAGTTCTTGGAGCTCATTTA